TACAATCTCTGCCGAGAGTCGCACATGTGCAATAGCTTCTCTGCTGAGCGGTAACTAACAGAAATGGTAGCGTCCAACACAGCAGCTTCGCATACCAAAACATCTAAAGTTTGGGAGCATTCTAGCCTGGATTCGGCGATTAAAAACATTACCTGAATTATTTGCAAAGCAGTCTTTGCTTATCACGGCAGCACCTTGAAGATGTATGAACACTTAACGAGAAAGCACGTCGGACAGTTGAATGAAACAGAGTCTGACTCACCTCGGTGAGATTTAAATAACACAAAAGCCAACACGTTTTGTTTTGGATGTACATTGTACATTATTTTAAACGTATTTCCAATTTTAAAAAAGGAGATTTAATGTTATGCCTGACTGTGCCTGACAAAAGTATTTTAATTTTATTTATGCATTTATGTCTATACTGACTGAGCACTGTGCCTAATTGGTGTTAGACAGGGCATTTTTATTTACTTTTAGTATGAACTGGCCTATCAGCAGCAAAGTTTAATAAAATATGCATTTTCCATTGAAGTACCCATCTTTCTTGTGTTTATTATCATTTTCCACATAATTAAAGCAATCTCATGCTAAATTTAAGAAAAATGTAATAATTATCCGATTAGTCGACTAATCGTTTCAATAGTCAGTGACTAGTCGACTAATAAAATAGCCGTTAGTTGCAGCCCTACTGTTTTAGAAATGGAAATGGTGCAGGATACAGGTTGTTATAAAAAATCAAATACCTTGGTCATAATGGCAAGCTGAGTGTGTGACCACGTATATATTATTATTATTATTATTATTATTATTATTACTATTATTATTCATGATGTGATGCAGTCACTGTGGAGGCGTATAGGAGATGTCGGGGTGTGGCATATTCATTTAACCCAGCTTATCCCTGGGGGGTTGGACTCTGAGCTCAGGTGTGTCAGCTGTGATGAGAATGCTCAGGTCCGTGCTCAAACCTCCGCTCCAGCTTAAGGAAATCATGACCTAGATCCAAGGAGGCCCATCAATCGCAATGCACGCCGCATGTTTTCTCTGCTTCCCTCCTTGATGTCTGAGTGGGGATTTCCAGATGTTCATCATAAAACAACATGGCTTCTTAACAGAGCCACATTTTTCTTACACAAACTTCTTCCTGAGCAATAAAATTGATTTGTGCTGTTGGGTGTGAGCGCTCATGAGCTGGAGTGTGAGTATCATGCTGGAGCTCGCATCAAACACACCAGCAGTTTCTATTTATGTGAATTCTACCAGGACGTGTGAGTCCACAAGTGTTTATTTTGTTCATGCACACATTAGTTTCTGCGATTAAGGTCTTTCTTGTCAATGGGTGAAAGATTATGTTCAGCTAACTCCTTCCTCTGAGCTCACATGAACAATAAGCTGCTATCAGGCCCAGTCAGTCCAGGGACTAAAGGTTAGTGTTAAGGCCACATAGCTGTGTGCCGGAGCAGAGTGTGACCCTGGTAGGTAGTCAGACAAGACATGGAGTGGGAGACTGCTAGTTGGCTCTGTGGCACAACCAATGCAGCACTTATTTACAAGCTCAAAGGAATAATTCTAACACGATTCTGGATTATTTCACTGTTGTGCAGCTGTGGAGACGTGGGTCCCATACTAACAACAGCTATAAGCATTACAACTTTACAATTGCTCAGCACCTGATAGATAATCATAGGTATTTAGCTTGTTTGGAAGTGGGTTTTTTTATGCTTTGTGTAATTGGCGTACTGTGCAGCTCTGCACACATCTGTGCTCATCAGCATGTGTATGCACAGATTTTTGCAAGCCTTCATATTCAGTATTTTCATTTTACTTTGTTTATTGAGAAGAAAGAGAAGACATCATAAAACATTTTCACACCCAGCTGCATAAATGTACTTACTCCTCTGTATGTTACGATGGACCCAACCAGAGTCCCATTCTTCTTTGGCTTTTTGGGCATGAGAGCGGGACACAAGAGACCACACTGCTTGCCGAGATGGATCCTCCGCCCAAAGCTACGCACCCCACCAACCGCAAATGGACTGGGCTTGCTTATAATAAAATGGAGGAATTGTGTTGGCGTGCTGACTTTAAGAGAGAACCATGATCCAACTGGGCTTTTGTCAGGATGTGGTGGTTTACTGCCATTCTCTCAATTTCTTCTTGTTCTGTCTGCCCATTAGCAACTTAAATGCCTTCCACATGACTGTTTTTGTGCAGCGCAGCTGCTGTATTACAACGCCTTTATAAGTGGTGGCCTACAAAATGTGTGTATGATGAAGCCATATGTTAGTTCTAAGTCTTTGATATCTCTGACTAACCCTGACCCTAACCCACTAGCTCCAGACAATACAAAATAAACGTTGTACTATGGTGGCTCTGCTTATGTTTCGGTCTTCCACTGCCGCTCTTGTCTGGAATTTTTTGATGGCTGCAAATAATTTTCATGATTACGTCCCTCCAGGCTTTCATGTTTAAACAGGTGGAGGGCTTTTCCCCTATTGTCTGTAACACCAACAAGGAAACCAGGGAGAGATAAAATCGTGCTGTATTGACATCATTTTTCACCTTATTGGATAAAAACAAACACTCACGTCTCTTAGATTTGATTTCAACAAATGTCATATTTCATATGGCGTTGTATTCCGGCCTAACGTGGAATAATCAGATTATCCTTCCCTGGATAATACCATTACACTGACTGATTTCCCCCCCTGGCTATTTCTCATGCATTTCCTTCTGCATGGCATCATCTTCCTTAAACTCTCGCTCTCTAACAGAAGCATCGGCCACCTGCAGGTCCCTCACCATTTCCTCACAGTCTCATAAGAAATACAAACATGAGTATTCTCTTATCATTGCATGACGTGGTGGAGGAACACATTAGCCTGAATCTCATGAGTCCAGTTCACTAGACCCATGTGGCGCACCGATAAGTTCTCAGGACTCTTGAGACCGGATTTGTCGTTGACGCTGAGTGAAAAGTAATTGTGATGTTATTACACCTGTTCGTGTGAAACAGGAAAGACTTTATTTCAGCTGACGGACTTTTATTCTGCCTCCACACCTTTATCACAACAATCCATCTTACAATGACCTCTTTGATAACAGTCACACATTTTCCAAATATGAGAACGTTTCTCTACAAGCTGTAACTGTACTGTTTAAAGTCGGATGGTAAAACTGGGGGAATTATTAGCCAACCAGACCCAGCACCTGCCGGCTGACACCCAGTGAAGTCATGCTTGGAACACTAGTTTCTCAGCTTGTTTCCTTTAATTGGCTCGTCTTGTTCCTTCATCAGCCAGCTCGTTAGCGCAGGGCCGGCGTTATGGGGGATGAAATCTCCACGTCAACCTCGTACATCATCAGATGACAAAGCACACACAAACTGCTGGAGAGGTATATACAGTACGGAGGGGAACACATTTCCAAATCAAACAAAGATAACATGAGGGATGGTAAATGACCTCAAAAGTAACACCTTATCGTATTGTTTTTTTCATTACTGAAATGTTGTGACTAATCTGAAAAAATGGGTGATCCCAAACACCAAAAGCAAAACGAATCAGTTATGAGGGAATGTGTTTTCTCATCACTGTAGATGAGAATCATCAGCATCAGGTCGATGAATCAGTTAGAGTACGTCAGACGTGCAGGAGGAGGATGCTCACACCCACGCCAGCTTTACGACAGTTAAGTTTTTAAAAGTTTGAGAGGAACTAGTCCATAACTAAAGTGTCCACTCCTCAATGTTGTCTGCGTGTGACTGAAGCTGGACATCAATCCAGATACATTTTCAGGTGCAGCTAATTCTCCATCACACCCTCTCCTGTCAGGCACTTTGAAGTGATTTAAATGGTTTTCTGTGGGTCTTCGTCTTTCTCACAGGAAAGGTTCCTTCAGCCTCTCATCATGACTTTCTGTAACCACGGTAACTCTTGGCTATTTTTACACTTGGTTCATGGAAATTTCCTCAGCATCAGGAGAAGCTTGTGACTAGTTTTCCTTCTCAGAGGCAGCACACCTCCGGAGCTAGAGGAAGTCACTTTAGGTAAACTAAACTCAGAGAACACGTTCAGGGATGACTAACCTTTCAACACACGCTGACTGATGCAGCTAAGGACCCAAAAGCAACACGCCTCAGCATGGACTAATGTGTGCTTCACTTGAAGAATCCCTGCTGAATATTTATTAGATTCATCAAAATAAAAATAAACAAACTCTGAAGTTATTACTGAGGAAAAGGTCGGATTAAATTCCAGTTAAAGTTGGAACTAAGTTAATAATCGTAATTATTCTTTATCACAACAGGAGGGTTAGGGTGTGGGTTGGAGCTCCACATCAATGTAGAGCAGAGATAAGTAGCCCTAGTCCTGGATGGCTTTCATCCTTGCTCTAACACACCTGATTCAACAGCTGCTGCACATGTTCAGCAGCTCGTGAAGCTCTGCATTAGTGTGTAAATCATCTGCTGATGAAATCAGGTGTGTTGGAGCAGTCAATCTTAAACATGCTGGATCACAGCGGACCTCCAGAACCAGGGTTGTTACCCTTGCTGACTCTCATCGTACTTGGCGCAGGGCTTCTCTGTAGATCCTAACCCTAACCCACCCCTCATTCACACCAAGTGCAGAACAGATGTGGATCGGAATCCGTAAAGCTTCCACAAAGACGGAAATTCGCTGAGCCCAATCAGAGCGTTTACCCTGGCTGGGGTGCGGCGAAAATCACGATGCTGCGGAATCTTTCGGCATGGTTAATTTTTCCGGACGCTGCGTACGGAAGTGACATGTTTCAGTGAAGTGCATCAGATTTATTTCAAAATAAACCCTGTTTTGCATCATTCTGTTGGATTATTTTGCTGTCATGAATGACAGGGTTATAAGTGGGCAAGTCTTTTTTCTTTCCTTTTGATTTAGTTTATTAGGAAACTCATCCTGTTTTATTCTTCATGTTTGGTTGAATGTGTATAACTATTTTGCCTGTCTGCATTTAAACAGGTGGGCAGTGGGATGGAGACGCAGAGCGGACGGCATTCTGCAACAGTAGAGACTCAGGTCCAGAAGCAGCAGCAGCAGGAGGACAGAGACGGCTTCCAGCAGCCTCATCGGCAGTACAACTCTCTGCCCCGGTGAGACTCGTCTGTCCGTCTCCCCCTCCTGTGACTTATCACGTCCTCCCTGCCCTTTCCCAACCCCTCCATTTGACTTTTTGATTTCTCTCTTTTTCTTTTTTCTTGTCTTTGCTTTTATGTACGTTTCTCTCTGCCTTTTTGTTTGCTTTCAAATTCTGTAACCTTAAAGCCACTTTCAACTGCAGATATTCAGGAGATTCTTGGCTACGCTCTGGATCACATCTTATAATGTGGTTGCTTTAAATCACATTAAAAGTTATTCAGCTCTATAAAGTCACGGCTGTCCTGAAAGGCTTTGTGCTCTCTCACTTTTCTCATCTCCTCAGTTGCAGCCTGAGTTCAGAGCTTCAAGGACTGCTCTTCATCTCACTCTTTCAGTTCTTTTGCATATTTGTCAAAGAGGTGCCAATAAAGATTATCGTATCTGACATCTCGGCACTGTGGGCAGAGCTTAAATATCATCATTTTCAGTTCCATCTATTATTAGCTAAGAAAATGTCTTTACTGCTGTTGAAAGCTTTCTAATTGCGCAAATTTCTAAGTTGCCCGAGATGAATTTCTATATTTGAAGCTAAAGGAGACGTTCCCTGGAGGCACTGAACCCGTCCTCTGTCAGACATTTGAACTTTACATTTCAAGATCAATGAACATTTTCAAAATAAAAGTATCTGATGTGTCATCAAACATTAGTTAGTGACTACTTTCTATTTTAAAGGGCTGCTTGACTGAAAACATTTTTAATGATTATTTCTGATTAGAATCAGTCACTGAGTTTTTCATGCAGACTGAACATGAAAATAGTCTCCTACATCTGTCTCCTGGGTTAGCTTCTGATAGAAAAAAAGACAGTGAAATTCTAGGATTTGAAAATCCTCGCATATCTATGTCACACTGTGAATTTGCATTCACTCCCATCTTGGCTCGGACACGCCCACAGAAACTTCTTTGTTTTTTCCCAGCAAGGAGAATGCACAGAGAGGGTAGTGGTGATGGCGACTTTGCAACATGGCAGAATGCGTTCTGTTAGCCAATCAGAGGCGAGATGTGTGCATATCATTAGTAATATTGAGCAGTCCTGCTGTTTTCAGCCCACCTCTGCACCAGCAAACCACTGCATCTCAGAACAGCAGCATCATAGCTTGTTTTATTGACTCATAAGGCCTTGGTTTACACTGGAGAACCCTACAGATGTAAGGACACTTTTTTTTACCTCTCATATGATCTTATTATTAACTCTGAGCAATGGTGCAATGGAATAATTCTTCTTTTGCCTAGTGAAAAATTTCAGCTGTAATTTAAAAGAAAGACAAAAAGATTTCAAAATATAATAAAAGTCTGGGTAAAAATTCCAGAAACCAAATGAATAAATAAATTCAACTAATAAAGTAAATACAACATGAACGATTCTCTAAGCAGGAGTTCACTTTCAATATTAGTAAAATTGATGCAAACAATGGAGACAGAATCAATCCAAAATATGTCATTTAATAGTATCCATTACAATGTTTATATGTCGGAGTTCGTTTCTAGAAACAAAGAAGGCTGGTCTATGTCCACTAAACCTTTTCTTAAACGAGTTACAAACAAAAGTTGTCTTAAAACTCCACGTCAGAATGCTCCACATCTGCATCAAGATGCATCTAAAAATGGCTTTTCTCCCTCCCTCTGTGTGATCTTTTAATTTTCCTTGGTAACCTTTCTCTCTCTCGTGTGTTTTTTCTCCCGCTCTCAACCCGTTTCCCTCCGCTCCCTCCGGCCAGCCACTACCAGGTCGATTAAAACATGTTCCTGTCTATGGCTATGGATTTGCGGTCCACATAGACGTATAATCAATGTGATCTGTATAAGCCTGACTGATCTATGCACTCCCTTCAAAGGTGTTATCTGCTGGCATGTCATGTGATGTGACAGTTGCCTCCAGGCCTCCCCTCAGAGAGTTTCTTGGGAAAGTCGGTCCTGCCCGCTACAGTGGACTTTGATATGCATTCCTCTCATAATCTCAAAGTGCCTCAGAGCGAAGAGTTTCATGAGCTCAGGCCCGATACTTGACCCTGGCTAAGGCTTTTTAGAACTCATGTCTCCGAGCGGCTCCTCATTACAGCGCTGGAGTTTTTACATCCTTATATTATTAACCACATTTCTTTCCAACCCCAATCACCTCTCCACTGGAACCACTCCTTCCTGCCCCTCTCTTCCAAAACAGGAAGCCTGCGCACTTAACCATTCCGCTGAAAAAGAGACATTCCTTCACAAAACAGGGGGAAAACGTAGTCTGAGCTTTAAGAAGAAGTCATGGTAGCTGGTTATCAGATGACAGCCAGGCTTAGCTCTCTGTCTGGGATGTGAAGATTGGAAGAGCACTAATGAAGGCTTGTTGTTGGAGCAGGATTAGAGGTGACAGGCAGCGGAGGGCAAGCAGGGCAGCGAGAGGAACAAGTGTTTTAGTAGGAAGGAGAAAGCACTGATTAGCCTGGAAAAAAAAAGACAACTCACACACAAAAATACACACAAACACACACGATAAGACTGCTCACTTTGGCCTCAGTGGTTGGTCATTCCTTCTCACTCACTCATCAGCTAAAACAATATTGCTTCACACATTAAGAGACATCCGTCTGGATTTTAGACAGCATTATTGAAATTGTGTGTGTGTGTGTGTGTGTGTGTGTGTGTGTGTGTGTGTGTGTGTGTGTGTGTGTGTGTGTGTGTGTGTGTGTGTGTGTGTAATCTCTCCCCTCCTTCTAATAAAGTCTGATTCCTCCCAGCTGCTTTAAAGAAACACACAACGGCCACAAATTTCTCTACAAGCCAACTTCCTGGCTTTGTTTATTATTTTCTGTCATTCTAAATTTATCCCACTCTTTTGGCACGATGGGATTTTCCATCCCCTCCCTCAGTAAAAGCAACTCATCTATTCTGTGACATATCCTGGCACTACTGTAGAGTAGGAGTGATAAGAGAGCTAGATCTTTCACCGCTACATTCCTGTGGAGCAACGCCAGATCGGCTCTCCTCCCTTTTTTGGTCACTGTTAGCCTCTAAATCTGCCCTCTTCTGTCTGCTGCAAAACATCTCAAAGGTCATTCTGAAAGGCCAAACCGCAGCCTTGTACAACAGGCTTCCTGGGTTTAATGTGAGCTACTCCTTTATGAGCGGTGCTGGTTGCTCTATGAGCCAAAGCCGGGGTGCAAACGCATGGCGGTTTGCCCAGACCGCCAAACCCAGATACGGAGCATGTGGTAGGGCTCTCTCTGCAGTCTGTCCCTACATCTGTCCCTCCAACGATTAGCCTCATTCTGACACACATGCTACACACAGTCTAACAAGATGATGCATTTATGTTGTCTATATGTGCAGAACATAACTTACACGTTCATCCTTGCATAAATCTAGTCCAGGAAAGGGCACGGTTATGGGTTAATGCTCTTCCTCTTTCATGTCTTCTTAACAATGGTGTCCAGCATGTTTTAGATGTCTCCCAGCGCCAGCACATTATATTCAACGGTTGAAGTACCTTCCCAGCATGTTGTGCTAATTAGCTTCTAACACAAATTATGACTGATCTTAGCCCATCATTGGGTTTTGTAAGAAAGTGTTTTTCCCCCCTTTGGCCTAATTAATAAATCAATAATTGCATAGGTTAAATCAGTTTGTTAATGTGTAGTTATTCATTCATTTACATGTTTTATCTAAGATGGTCTAAGTTGAAGAGTTCTGTTTCCTTCTGTTTTAATTTGAACCCAGCCCAAAAAGAAATGTGAGTGTTTTGTTCTAAAAGCATCACGAGTTCCTGTCGTCTTCAACAGTTTTGTTCTGTGAGCTGAAAAAAAAGAACCTTTTAAGCCTACAGTGGGTCACTGAGGTGTGAAGGGGATTTCTCTTAGCACCCTCAATGCAAAAGACTGTCGCAGGTCTTCCATCGCATGTCAGGCTAATGGACGAGCAGACTTTAACTCGGCAAAAAACTCTTTCCAATGAAGGCTTTTCAAAGCTAATTTCTGGAAAGGAGGGCATGTGTTGTGAAGGGAGCTATTTTTTCTTCTTTTCTGAAGGAGAGACTTGATATGCGTGCATCTCACGCTGTCCTGACAGCGTTATAGGGGCTGCCACTGAAGATGAGTAGAAGGCAGATAATGCTGTGAGGCCTGCTATTACTCTGTCTGTTCTGTAAGTGCACCCATCTGCATCTCCAAAAAGAAGTTAAATGGATAAAAGCAGACATTTTTCTCTTGGAGGTTTTTAGCCTTTGTGTTTGTTTACCATGTGGAGCTAATTGTCCTTGGGGCGTTTACGGCTGCGGTCGTTTATTTTCTGCCCTTTGCGTGTCTCGGTTTTTATGTCACTGGACCCAGTTTGATCAGGCAGGATGCTTGAAAAACCCTTCTATTCTTCACTCGTTGCTTTTAGTAGTTGAACCTGAACGACGTTCTACTTTTGATCTCAAACTCTCTGGTTTAGTATAGATGGGCAGCCCCAGTAACCCTTCTGTTTGTCTCGTTGTGTTCAGGCAGCCTCGTAAGTCCCACAGTAACGTGTCCCAGGACTCATGGAACAGGGGGTACCCGCCACCTGAGGGATTCCGGACTCCCAAGGAGAACCCTCGCTTCTCTGGTGCCCATCAAGGCTCCCGTAACGGCTACCTGGGAGCATCCAACTTCAATGCTCGAGTTCTGTTAGAGACCCAGGAGCTGCTGAGGCAGGAACAAAGACGCAGAGAACAAGAGGCCACCAAAGACATGCTGTCACCTCCCCAGCAGGTCCCTACTGGCAGCATCCACAACCAGGGCAGAGACCACAACCAGGCCCCTGGCATGGGACACACGCCAACCGCAGCTCAGTTCAAAGGCCCCTACAGACAAGACGTCCCCCCATCACCGAGCCAGCTGGCCAAGCTGAGCCAGCGTCCAGGCTCAGAGACGGGAAGGCTGTTTTATTCCTGAGACATCCGGACTCATTTGAACAAATATTTACAGAAAAACAAAGATGGCAGCAAGTCTGTTTTATAATAACATCCTTTAATAGTGGAATTTTTATAGGCTACTTATGAAAAAAGGTTTTTTTTATTACATGATCTCCTAGAATTGTAATATATATGATAGAATGATTTAGGAGGTTTTATAGTTGTGATTATTGTTTTCTATGAAAGAAAAGTGGCTTTTTATTGTTGACCCTTTGTAGGCATCTCCACCCAGCAGTCCAACACATCCAATAATCAACAGGAGGTTTTGGGTTTGGATCCCTGCTGCATCACACAGTGTGTTTACATGCACAACAGAAAACGGAAATATTGCCCTAAAAATATGCTGTTTTTTTTTTTTTTACTGTGCGTTAGTCTGGCTGAAAGTGAACTGGTTCTCATCGAGCTGAAGCACGCAGATAATACGGTAGCAATCCGATTGCATTCTGCATGTTAACGGGACGGCCAAGCTGAAGTGGTTGGACGCTCGCGTTCCGGGAGAGACGAGGCCGCGGAAGTGGTCTCATGACAAGCCCATCGTCACAAAGCAACACGCGTGACACCATAAAACAGGACAGTACGTACCAGTGTTGTTTTTGGCAGGCATCTTTGTTGCAGTCTTAGTCTTGACCACGAAAATGCATTTTAGTCTTTAGTCGACAAAGACTTTTGTTTTTTAATTTTACAAAACATTGAACAAAGTATTATTCTCTAACAAATGAATTTATAGGTCAGACGTGTACTTTGAGCTACTTGAGTGAGTTTCGTACCTACATCATTTAATTTATGGCTATGGGACAAAATCTCAGCTGCCTCAGATTTTGTAAAACAACTTTATTAATAATCACAACTTATTGATGCAGATCTGTGCATCAGTCTGTTGATTTTCACAAAACAACATAACAGAATGGACACTTAGGGAGCATAAAAAGTATTCTACTTAATATGTATACAGAAATAAAGAAACGTGTTTGTTTAAACTATTGTCATGTTCTGTGTCCCTCTGTCCCCAGCCCCCTCCTGTTCTCACTCCAGGTTCTCCTCGTGTGTCTCATTATCATCCCCAGCTTTCTCTAGGCTTCCCTCAGGTTTCCTTCTAGTCTCTCCCTGGTAATTCCTATTTTTATATTAGTCCTCCTCATCCCTCTAGTTATTAGTTGTTTATATTTGCCCTTAGGCCTAGTCCACACGTAGCCGTTTTTTTTAAACGAATATCCGCCCCTCCAAAAACTTGCATCCATACCACCTCGTTTAAAAAAAAAACTCTGTCCACACGTACCCGGGTGAATACGTTGTTAAGGACATGCCAGACCTGTAGGCGGCAGTACTTCCCCCGTTCTTAACCTCGTCCTTCGTCTGTGGTCTTCCGCAAGGAGCAGTAATTCCGCTTGCAAAAACAAACAAGCAAAAAGCGCTTGGACAATTGATAAAGCGAGCGCAGCTCTGAGGGCATCCATGCTGTCGGCTAGTGTAAACACAGGTCGCACACGTGATGTCAGCATTTTTTTGTCGCGGAAAGTGACGTTGCGGACCTTAAAACTCCGGTTTTGTCTGTCCACATGCAGACACCCAAAACGGAGAAAACGCAGATCTTCACTTTAGCCGGAGTTTTTAAAAAGATCCGTTTTTGTGTGAAAAAACTCAGTTTTCGTGTGGATGACGTTTTGGCAGATCCCCGGCTACGTGTGGACAGGGCCTTAGTCTTTAGGTTTAGTTACTCCATGTTTTATAGGTTAATGTTTATCTTCCCTCCTGCTTAGTTCTTTCCCCCATTTAGTTTATTGGATGCACCTGTCTTCCCTCCAGAATCTCACTCCTCACACCTGTCACGTGTTCCCCTGATTACCTCCCTCTGTGTTTAAAAACCCTGTCTTGTCCCTCAGTGTTTGTCGGTCCATTGTTGTTGTCAGCGTGTTTTGTTTCCCCCGTGTAAACCTTAGACTCCTGCTCAGTTAAGTGACCTTCTAAATTTTTCGTTTGCTCCTGATACCTGGCTTGGCTTCCTGTCCATGATTTTTGGATTATTTCCCAAAATAAAAGATTCTACCTTTTTTCAATTACTCCTGCCTCATGTCGTCTGGTGCTCCATCTTGGGTCCTACTCCACCTGCTCTGAACCTGACAGTTATTGGTTGAGTTATCAGACCTCCATCTTAGTGTCTTTAAATGTATATTTTGGCAAAGTCTACCTACTTAAATGCAGCAATGTTTTTCCTTAAGCCTGCAGTGTTGTGATTTTTCACGAGCCTACAGACTAATATAAATAACCCAGTTCTGCTCTTGAGCATCAGCAGAGATGCTCACAAATATTTAGATGGGCTTAAACTGTGATGCTGTTGGGTTAAAAAGCAGGAATGTGACCCGTTCGTTATTAGGGAACAGGGAGCAGTGACAATAATCCTGACACTGACTTTAAAACATTCGTCTTAAACGTATTCAGATCAAACTTTATCAAAACCGTCATTTATTTCATGTATCTGCCCAAAAGCATGACTTTTTCAGGAAACACTGGATAAGAAATTTGTTAATATTACAGATATGTTTAAAAGTAACAACGCCGTCGCTCGTAGTAGCGTCAATGAACAGCTGAGCGCTGCACGTTCCCGCGGCAGGGAAGCGCTGAGTCGAGCTGAGTACAATTAGAGTGATTTTTGCTTTCTGGTGTGGGTGGGAGCTAGCTTCACTCAGCTGCTGAGTCTGGTCTGAGCAGAGGACACACACAGACAGCAGCAATACTGACCATGGACATAATTTGGGGGGGAGACATGTCCTCCCCACCTTTTCCAAAGTCAAGTTTTGACCCCGCACTTTTTACCATCCAAAAACAATATTACGCTATATCAAACTGACAATGGTTGAGCTCTAGGACCAAGAGGAAAACAACCGTTAGTGTTGAAGCCTGTTTCCCATTAGAGCATACTGTAAAGATACACTATCCCACTCCCACCCCGTGTCCCCCCGCTTCTAAAGCGAAAATGGCGTCCATGGTGCTGACAGTTACAACGTTTGAGAGACAGGCAAAAATTAGCATTTTGAGCATAGTTTTCATCTAGTCTCAGCTCGTTAACGAAAACTCCAGTTCGTACAGTCATGTTCTAGTCACCAAAGACCTATTTTTAGCTCGCCAGCGTCTCGTTTTCATTAACGAAAACAACACCGGTATGTACCAAATCAGATGGGCTGCAGCCACGGGCGTAATTTTGGGGGGGGGGGCAGCGGGGACATGTCTCAGTCACTCTTTCCAAAGTCAAGTTTTCACCCCTGCACTTTTTACTGTCCAAACACAATATTACGCTATATTAAATAGACACTGGTTGAGCTCTAGGACCAAGCGGAAAACAAACGTTTGTGTTGAAGTCCATTTCCCATTAGAACATACTGTAAAGATACAACCCCCCCGGTCCTCATGCCGGTTGTGTGCCCCCACTTCTAAAGTGAAAATTACGTCCATGGCTGCAACGTTGCTGCTGTGCATTCCTTCAGCCATATCTTGTACATATCCTGTTTTAATTCCGTCTGCTTCACTCCCGCCGGTCTCTGTTTTCTGCTTGTGTGGGTGAGCTAACCGGAAGGAAGCCAACATGAAAAGGTGAATGTTGCCACCTACTGTACCGGAGTGGAACTAAATTTATTTGAGAGGCTGGTTTTCTAATGTGCATGTAAACTAGGATGAAGACTCCCAACTTATTACAGTGAGATCAGCCTGGATCGACTTAGATGTCAGTGGTGTGCATGTAACTGCACGGTGACTGAATCTGGTTTAGATGACCCAAAGACCCAAAATACCCAGTCTACAGATGATTTATACAATCAAGTTCTGGATCTTTATTGAGACCATTCTTGAGAGAGTCAGGGCCTACTTTTATTTTTCATGAGGTGTCTGTGTGTGTGTGTGTGTGTGTGTGTGTGTGTGTGTGTGTGTGTGTGCGTGCGTGCGTGCGTGCGTGCGTGCGTGCGTGTGTGTGTGTGTGTTTGTTTACGTGTGTCTGACTGTCTGTACGAACTGTTTGGATTGCTTGCAAGAAAGCCTCCTTCCACACCACACACTGATCACATCATGGAAATGGCCCTTTTGGTTTCAGATCTAGTCCTTCAACACACACACACACACGTGCACACACACACGCACACACAGTCTCTCTCTCTCCTATTTTTCAGTATGGTAATTCTGGATCCTCTCTTCCCCTCAGCTGGCTGCTTTATCTCAGCGTCTTCTCCTCACACTGTCACCCTCATCCTTCTGCTCCCTCGGTGGAGAAAAACAGCTTCAGATCTTCTTAATTCTTTCTCTGCTCCACTCACCCAGGGAAACCAGCAGTACAAAACGGGGTCAGGCCTGGGTTATGAATTAATGCCTTGCATCAAAAATGAATGCAGGCCTTTGTGCATGTTTGTTGTCACGCGTGTGTGGAGGGTAGCCGACTCCAGCTCTTGCTTCACCTAGAATGATTTGGTTGCAACCGGAGACCACTCAAGGTGTCGAAGCTGGTTCTCAATGAATATTTCATCAGGGTGGTTACAAGTGAAACCACATCAGCTGAGCGGTGGGTGGCCTCATCGCAGTCCAGCCCCTCCATACAATGAAGCTGATTTTGTTTCCACTCATGATTGTGTCCATTCATGAGAAAACCACTGAGGAGCATTTTCAGTGTTCCGTCAATAATTAGTGGTCCAGTTTTTGTGAACTGTGTTTTTGAAAATTCATCATCCACCAGATTGTTGTTTTATTCCCATCCTTTCACATTTATAAGGATCTCTGGTGGATGAATATTTATAACCTGGATATAACTTAAGACTATGTCTAGGATTTCTGTTAACATCGTGTGTTTACAAGCATTTATGAAATTTGGTTTGTTTGTTTCAAATTTTTAGAATCTTGCCAATTTATTTTTTCCTGAGCAGGTAATAAGAACATGTGTCTATAAGCTAAAAGGCTGACTCGTTCACTAATGGATATTCACTGTGCACTATAAACCCGAATAAGTTCCCAGAACTCAAACATTTTGAGGCAATCAATTGCCTCAATATTTGTTTTTGAGTTTTGAAATCGAAAATTTTAAGTTTCAATAAATGAAATTTCTTCATAAATTGTACTCATACATTTTAAGTTTAATTAAATTAAAATTGCTCATCCAATCAACTCAAAATATTTTAGTTACCAATAAACATTGTTTTAATGTTAGAAAAACAGAAAAAACACAACTACACCTTTTCTCAGGTCCAGATGGTTCAGCAGGTTTAACCCTGTGCTTAAATGTTTGTTTTCTTTTGAACAAAGCTGAACAAATCAGATGTTTCTAATAACAACTACAGAGACTGTACTAACAAACAGAGGTGGCTACTAGATAAGAGGATGTGAACTACACATCCAACCTGAGGCCCTCATTCTCTAAAATGTGCAGCACCAATTTTCTTTTCTTTAGTTTGTTTGTTTGTGTTTGCTAAAGTCATTTATGCTGCTAACTTTTTTTAACACCAGATTTAAAAAGCAAGTGGTGCTAAAATTAGCTTTCACAACCACACTCGTTGGGTTCAGAAGCAATTTGCACTATTTGTGTGTTAGATTGCAATTTTCATCTTTGCACATCTAGAAATCACTTTCTGCTATGAAAACAAAAGATGAAAAAAGATTTTCTCACAGTGAACAAAGCACAAAGACGACAAAACATCTCATTGTTGAAGGAAGGAATCACATATAGGATGCAATTTCCAAAGCAATTAAAACACTTTTGAATGTTTTGACCACATCTCAACTCGACTACATCAGTGGTTCCTTAAATCCCACACTGACGGGTGCTGAGACACATCCTTGCCCTGAGTTTTTATGTAGACATTTCCTTTGAGAATTGAACTGGTGCAAAAGCCTGTGTAGCTTCCGGTTAGCACCTGAAAAGCCCAACAACCCCTTGACTAATCTGGACCTGGATATACTAATGTGTTCATGATACGAATGTCTCCAGATCACAGTTCTGTTTTCTGCTGCTCCTCATCCTCCCAGAGCAACGATTATGAGGCTGATGATTCACATTGGTAACTATCAAACATATGATTACATAAAGTAGATGAATAGCGCTTGTTTATCCGGCATGTTTCTGTGTAGGTGGCCATGTGTTTATGTGTAAATACTGCCAATAACTGGATTTTCCAGCATGTCTGTGACTATGTCTGAGCAGCCATATGAACTGCTTGGCTGCTGAGTGGGAGAGGAGCAGAGGAGTAGGAGGGAGAGAAGATGGGAGGCCTGACCTTGCAGATGATTCAGTCAATGGTGTAATCACAACCATTCCTCTGAGTCTTCAGTACAAACAAGAGGTTACCGGCGAGGCAGCGCTCACTTCTGTTCCCTCCTTTTCCTATTTATCTCTTTCGTCTGCTTGTTTTGTGTTTGTCTGGGCAGATTCTCTTACTTGTGTGGATGCGAGCTGCTGGCTATGTGTGTGTGTGTGAGCGCGTGCGCGGGTGTGTGGATGGGGTGGGGGGTGGTGGTGGGTGGGCGGGGGGGTCAGTTACGACACAGCAGCTTTATTAACTTTGTGTCATTATGAACAGGAGGGGTGCCTGCAATACTGATATTTTTCTCATCATATGCAAATTTGATAATGCTCCTTAATGCACATGTATTATTTGTGTTGTGTAATTAATGTTTATACGCTGTCGCTGTGACATAAGGACTTTTCCTATAAAGCTATTATTTCAGGGGATTTTTTTTAGTCTTGGCAGAAATGAGAAACATATTATTGTTTCATTGTGTTTTTGCACCCATCTCTCATTGTGTTTTATTATCTACAGTATGGTACTCTGCTGGTAAAATGACTTTCTTAAGCACTGTGCAATTTCCTTTTTTACAGTGATGTATTAAGTTGTGTTTCTGCTCTTCTCTGTACATACAGTATGAACTTTTTCGTGAATAAAATGAGGGTAGTTTCAGTCTTTTTAACAATAATGTGTCTTGATTGTGTTGTTTTTGCTCTCATGCAGGTTTTCTTTTTCCCAAAAAACATGCATAATTAAAACAACTAATGAAGATCCTCATTTACTCCTCCTCCTACGACTAATTACACATTTAAACATCAGGCATTAATTTAAAGTTGGATGTTTTTTTTTCAAAGGTTAAACTATTACAGATACAATGCTCAGAACCAGGTTCTAGGATAATTTCTCAAAAGAAAACAGGATAAAAACTTAATTTATTTCCTTTACAGCTGGAGGCTGAATCTCTGCTGTAGCGAGCAGGGTATTTGATGAGTGACAGATGAAAAAAACAAGGCATCTATGTTTCTACATCTTCAATATTCTCCACTCCTGATAAGTTCCTGGAACATCTGGACTTTTTTGGGTTACATCCTAAAAACATCCTGCTTTGACTCCGATAAAGAAGTAGACCAAAGTCAAAGTTATGATGTTCAGGGGAAGGGCAGGTTTTAGCTCGTTCTGATGAATGAAGAGGCTTTTTGAGAGGTCTTATCTGGTCAGAGAGGAAACAAAGACAGCCTCTCATCTGTGTAGCACTTCTGAGAAAAAGTAGGGTGAAACAGAGGAGAGGAGGCTGAGAAGCTGCAGGAATCAGCTCACGTGGTGAGAGGGCAGAGTGGCTCTAACCTCCTAATAGCTCAGAGATTTAAAAGTAACGCTGAAGAAATTCAGCTCTGAACATCCCCGCTAAGTCACAGTCTGTTTTCTGCTTTATTACCTTTGACTGAGCGTCAATGGAACAAACAGAGAAGTGGTCCTGCATCTGTTTCAGTCTTTGACGTCTTTTAGACATCTGCAGTGTTTCTGCCGTATAGATTTATAAAACTTTATTAAACAAGTTCTAAACACCAACACGCCTCTGTACTGGTGAGGGTTGATGCTGTAGTTCTACATTTAGAGAGACAGTGTGTAGTTTTTACCATTAATTTCTGGAAATATCCATTAAAATGTTTTTGAAAATGAATTAAACAATGTCCTGTTGTTCAATTCAATTCAATTCAAAGATACTTTATTAATCCCAGAGGGAAATTAGAGTTTCAGTACACACAATTCTAAGAATTGGTGACTGTGGTCATTCGCAATGAGCCGTGCTACCTGAAAAATATTGGTGGCTTCCTAACATAACCATACAAATCAGGTCTAAAACTCATGGGAGCAGTCATTGGGGGGTTGGGGGGGGGGGCACAAAAATAAACAATCAATGATGTACAAGAGTCTGCTTTAGACCTGCAGAAAAGGGACACACAACAATACAACAGGAGCAAGCTATCACTGCATCAACCTGATGAGGAAATATAAAATCAACATTGTTTTACTGAACAATCATGATAATAAATCACAGTGCATTTAGTGCCAACCACAGCCTTAAGACGTGTGTTGAAAATACCCAAGTCCATACTTATGAGAGCACCATGTGAGCACCTGTGTGTGTACACACACTTGTATATGGAAGGTTTCTCTATAGGAGTGTCCAATGGAGAGTGTGAGGGGCCACAGATCTGCCCCCCAAAGATGTGTGGAAGATGGAGGGAGCTCCAAGTCCCAGAGATCCAGGATACCTTGAGCCGCAGTGTTCTGATCCCTGTTCTTGTGTAGCAGTTAATGACTTAGTACATCTCTGATGGGTTTCTTGGACAGAAGTAGCTTCTTTGCTGCCCTTCTTGGCACTTGGACATTCTCTGTCTATTTCCTCACTCTCCTGCAGATGAACTCACGCCTGCCAGCTGACATTCCTAAACAGGTTCTTCTCCAGCTGAGTCCTGATCCCACAGTTGAATGTACTTTAGGAGATGTTCCTGGTTCTGCTGGGCTATTTTGGGCCCTCTGAAACCTTCATTACAACAACTGAACCTCATTCTTTGAAGTTCTCCATGATCAAGTGGCCTGGTTGAGATGCCGTTGTCTGGATTAAGTGCAGTTTAACTACAAGAAGCTAGAAACAAAGTGTTTTCTCATAGGTTAACAAAAGAGTAATGATTTTAAGCACATTTCAGTTATTCTGTTACTCTATGACAGAGGGACCTTCATCTTCACCCTGATCAGTATTCTCACCTGCATCAAAGAGAGGATCACAGTAAAGAATACAGCAGGTGACTAAGGGTAAAGTTTTTTTTTTTGTGGCAAACATCTTATTATTCATCTGTTAAGTTTACATAGTATTCTGATGTTACATGGTGGATTGTTGCTACATATACCTCTTTCATAAAACAAACCATTGCGTCATAATAGAGTGATAAATCAAATTTGTGGGTGTCGTAAATGTGGCAAGGAGCAAAGGGGAAAGGGGATAAAACTCGATTCTGATGCGCTTAGCCTCGTAGTAATATTGCCGCATGAGCCCCTCACCTCTGATGACTAAATGTTTCTCAACCCCACTATTCCCTTTGGAGCGACTGTGGCAGGTCCTCCCGCAAAAGAGGGTGGTCGTGTTAGTGACATATCTGCGCGCCGAGTGCCAGCCGGAAGGGATATAAACACAGATAAACATGGCCTCTCACTAGTATCTTTCAACCGCCTACATCATGGCAAAGTGGACAGACGCGGAGACCATGGAGCTTTTGGCCGTGCGAGCAGATGAACAGATTAGTCGCCTTTTTACGGCGACTGTGAGAGACAGCCAGCTGTTCGACAGAGACAGTGAAAACACTGGCTGACCTGGGCATCAAGCAGGACAAAAAGCAGGTCACATCAAAGCTAAAGGTCCTGAAAAAGAAATTTCATCAGTCTGACCTGTCTTCCGTCACATGCGGGGGGCCGCCCAGCGACATCTCTTTATTCCGTCTTGGTTTGAGAGGTGCCTGATGGCAGTTTATTCTAGCTTCAGCTTTGCTACTATGAATGCCAAAATCCTCCCCAGGGAGCCGCAGCAAATCCCGTTTTGCAAACGCTGTGGTCCTGTAAAAATAACTATATTGTGGGCGACGGTGGCACAGGAGTTAAGTGCTCGCCCCGTAATCGGAAGGTTGCAGGTTCGAGCCCCGCTCAGTCTGTCACTGTCGTTGTGTCCTTGGGCAAGACACTTAACCCATGTTGCCTGCTGGTGGTGGTCAGAGGGACTGGTGGCGCCTGTGCTCGGCAGCCTCGCCTCTGTCAGTGTGCCCCGGGGCAGCTGTGGCTACATTGTAGCTCATCACCATCAGTGTGTGAATGTGTGTGTGAATGGGTGAATGACTGGTTGTGTTGTAAAGCGCCTTGAGGGTTTCCAGGAATCTAGAAGGCGCTACATCAAATACAGGCCATTTATATTATTACACATATTAACACACACATTTCAGACAGAGTCAAGGATATAGTTTATAAAAATGAATTGAATTCTATCTTTTTAAACTTATATTTTACATGACAAAGTATGAATGAGATGATGGTTGGACTGGAAAACAGATAATGGTGGAATGTAACTAGATGTTTGTAGCAAAACCGTATTAAGTATCTGCGAGATCTTGTGATGTCTGGGTTGTAAAATCAGTTTGACTGCATGGTTTAATAAGCTAGAGATTATTCATAAAACCATCCTACGCCAGTGTGAGAATCTACGAACCCTTTGTGTTACAGGCCCTTGTGTGATCCATGGGGTCAAGAGAATGGTATGGAAGAACTGCCGGTAATGTGGACCTTTGTGTAACGGAACCCATAGTTCAGCTCCGAATACGACCCGTCAGCTCTCAGGTACCTTCCAGGTGACGTCAGGAACTGGCATATCCATTTTTACATCTGATATCTGGATAGATGATCCTAAATCAGTAGACAGACGATAGCTGAGTTCAATCCCAATAGTGCCATGCATTCCTTCAACCATCTTCTGCTACTCACTATCCAAAGCTCTGCTCAACCTGAAGTTACATTCGAAATTAAGAGTTTAGCTGAGGAGTACGCAGCAAATGCGAGGAATGTTACCAGAATATACATGAAACAACTATCTGAAATGGCCAACTTGAATGGACATTCACTAGAGCAAATGCTAAAAGATGAGTGTTTATTAGATACAGGATCACAAGTGACAACTGTACCACAGAGTTTCTATAATCAGCACCTTTTTGAGCTACCCATTCATCCGGTGGGTGACATCCTTGACGTAGAAGGTGCTAATGGACAATCTGTTCCTTACTTAGGCTATGTTGAGCTGTCAATCACTTTTCCAAAGGATTTTGTAGGTTCGGACATTAATGTCAACACACTGGCATTAGTCATTCCTCCACAACGAGCTCAAGCACAAGAGCAGGTGCTAACAGGTACAAACACTTTAGACGCTCTTTATGCAAATTTTCAGGAATCCAGTATCAACTTCCAACCAGTCCCTTATGGCTATCGAGCACTTCTTAAAATCCTTGAAATGCATCAGAACACATTTAGTAACTGTAGTCTTGGCCATGCTAAACTGAAAGGTAAACATCCGTCTGTAGTGGAAGCAAGGCAAACAGCTGTTTTAGAAGCATCACTGTATGCCCCCAGCTCTGTCAATGAGAGATGTGCTGTTATTGAACAGTCACCAACCTT